CCAACCCAATAAAAGTAAAAGGCTAAAATTTGGGAAAACTCAAAATTGGGGTGGAATACCAGTCTAGCTATTGCCTGGACTGGAATTTTTTTTGGTGGAGCCCACTGAGACATTATGCAGCCCATGTTCAAGGAGGAAACAATGGGGCCTGCCACTGCTGTGTTGCAAAAGCTGTCGCATTTCTCAAACAATCCAACAACTGAAATTTAACACTAAAAAAAGATTCAACGATTGAAATTTAAATCCAACAATCAAAATAATATTTTTAATTAATCTAAATCAGATCCAACTCCAAAAACTTAGTCCAAACTCTATAAATACCCGCCTATTTCTCAAACAATCTACCAAAAATATTTTTTTTATTTCTCAATTTATTTTTCCTTTCTCAATTTCATTAATCTCCTCATTCTTATTGAAAATGTCCACAAAATCTATTAAAGAAGAGTCCACTGGTTTTCAAACACATCATCTTCTTCATTCTCATACTTTTCATCTCAATGGATAACCGTTGCAAGGCCATCTTTTTCCTTATGTTTGATGATGATTTAGATGATGAGGAACATCATCACAGAGTGATACAAGCTATTCTCCACCATACTTCACTGGAGAATGAAGCCGATCACCTCCCTAAACATGGTGCGTTGGTAGTCAGTCGTGAGTACAAGAACCATGAGAGGGAAGATCACCATTGCAATCTCATGTCCGACTACTTTGTTGAAAGGCCACATTTTAATACTACGGACTTTCGTAGGCGGTTCCGAATGCGAAAAGAGTTGTTTTACCGCATCTTGAATGATGTTGTCAACCACTAGCCATACTTTCGCTAGAAAAAAGACGGGCTTGGCCGTTATCCCCTGAGCATAAGTTAACTGCTGTCTTTCGTATGCTCACATGGGGATGCTTGGCTGACGCAACAAATGAGTACTGTAGATTGGGTGAAAGCACAGCTCTTGAATCACTCCATAAGTTAGGTTATGTTGCCATGTATGGTACCTCAAGTCTCCAAATCCAGTTGACCATTACAGGCTCTTGGAATGGAAGAACTGCGCATGATGCTTGGGCAGGCCAGTTTACCGGTCACAAAAAAAAGCCCACTGTTGTGCTAGAGGCCTTGGCCTTATACGAAACATGGATACAGCATGCCTTTTTTGGAGTTGCTGGATCCAACAATGATATCAAAATTTTAGCTCGTTCTCCATTGTTCAATGATGTGGTGGTGCATGGAGTGCTTCCCAGGTTGAATGTATTGTCAATAGAAATCAATACCATTTGGGCTACTATTTGGCATATGAGAACTACCACCGTTGAGACTTCCGCTGCGATTAATTTGATTAAATGCATGTTTAATATTCAAATGAACTTTGGAAAAATGTTTTGAAATTCCTACAGAAAGAGCATTTGGAATACTACAGGCTCGATGGACTATTTTTTGGGGCCATGCACGTATGTGGTGCAAGGATAACCTCCACTCAATCATGATGACATGTATAATTTTGCACAACATGATTGTGAAGGATGAGTACAATCTTTTTTAAGGGGAAAAATTTGGATTTATGACCAAATGGGTTGGAGAAGGCCTAAGTAAGTGTTTTCCCTCCTGTTTCATAAAGAAAAAAAAAAGATATCTAAGTAAGTGCACGGTAGAAGTATTAGGGTCGACCTGACTTTTGGGTGGCGATAAATTAAATGAGGCCCCTTCCTTAGTATACAATAAAGCTTAATACAAAAGGATTTTATTTTATTTTTGCTCATTCATTCATTTTTATTTAAACATAGTAATGATCATTCACTACACCAGAACATATCATTTACGGCGCACAAAGCACGCCAATGTATAGTTAGATAATATTCAACAAAACAACCTATTCTTTGACAATAAATTCTCAAGTATCTTTTTTTTTTGGGCCGAAAGGTGCTAATTAAACCAATAAAGAGAATCAACAAACCACCTAACAAAAAATAGAGGCCAAGCACCAACAACAAAAAGCAAGAACAAAACTCAACATAGACCAGCAGATAGGGTTTAGGGTGAGAAAAAATAGTTTGCTGGATAGGAAAAAATATAAAGAGAAATTCATAAATATGATTACCTTTTCAAATTCTCATGTTCCTCTCCTCTTGGTCACCATTAATCTCAAAGACAAATATCAAAAAAGAAAAATTGTGAGCCTTTCAGTGAGAGATCGATTCTTAGGGTTACAATATGAGATAAGAGGGATGAGAGAAACTGAAAATAATGGATGGATTGAAGAGAGATTGAGAAAACATAAAATAATATGATGGTGGATTAAGAGCTTGGTGGATTAAATAGAGAGTATATTCTTCCATGGAGAAACTAGGAGTAGGCGTTGGGAAAAGAGGAAGCGTGTTTCCTCATTTAATTTCGTTTTTTTTAAAAGTTGGATGCTGGTATAATATATATGTACATATATAATATTTAAAAAAAATTGGGCCCCCCTTAACTGGACGCTGATTACAATGCTACTTTTGGTTACAAATTCTGTTTTGTTTTTACCTACTTCAAGCTATTAAGATGAAGAAAAACTAAAGAACGTAATAAAGACACTGTAGAAGCACAGAGAATTTCAGAGAAGGAATTGTAGGTTTCTGTATTTCGTTAAGCTCTAACTGAGCATATTACAATCTTTATATCAGCCTAACTACAGTCTTAGCTGGCTACTCACTTTGCTAACAACTCTAACCACATTCTAACAGCTTACTCATTGATTTGTTGACACTTGGCAATATCATCATCATTGATACTCTTACATCCCCCCTCAATCTCATGCTTGGAGGAGCCAGTATAAGATTGGAACAGTGATCTGGAAAAGAAAGAAAAAAAGGCCAATGAGGCCGTTCGTAAGAATATCTGCAAACTGTTCGGCAGAGGAAACATGCTGCAGATGCAAGCATGGCTGAGTAACAAACTGCATGAGCACAAGAATTTGGAACAGTGAAGAACTATGTAACAGAAAGAATAGGAGCAAGCAATATCCGAAATGCGGAAAACCAGAGTGCACAAACAAGATATAGAGTTTCTGCAAAACCAGGAGATTGAGCCATGTGTTTGAGTTTCCATTGAAAACCACCAGCCAACGCCAAAATGAAACTAACAATGGTTGATGGAACTATACTAGCAGGACCGTGGCATTGTAATCAATATCACTGGCTAGCACACAGTGTTGTACATCTGGAACTACGTTGAGATCAAAAAACGAAATGCCATCGAAGTGCAATTTTGGCGTCACCAAAGGAGCAACCTTGTCCTTTCCAGAGATAACAGTCTTGCTAGTTTCACCCTCATCATGAGAACCAGAGGCCTTGCCATCATGTAAGTTCGTTGCCTGAAACAATGTAATGGAATCAGCACCATACGCATGGCCCACAAAAGGGCTGACTATAGAGCGCGTGGCTATCTGAGGCAGCACAACATCTGCAGGAGCAATTATTTCATCTGAAAGTTGGAGTTTAGAAATTGGAAAACCAATTGGAGACACAGTGGCTTCCTCTTCAGCAAATGCATCAAGACTAAGACTGTCTTGATTGGTAACGGTGGAACAGTTGATGGGGAGGTAGGAAACAAAAACTCTTGTTGACCTATCGACTGTGGGACTGTAGCATTTCAAGATCTTGATTCCTGAGGATAATAGGATGCAGCTCTACCTTGACTGTGATATTTTGAACCTCTGTAGCAAGCACGACCAGAATGAACAAGCATTATTTCTTCTTGTTCAGTAGCAAGCATTATTTCTTCAGCATTATTTATTCAGCAAGCAATTGGCATTGAAACTCCTTGAATGAGAGCATGCTTTCTCGGCATCGCATAACACACCTGAAAGTGTTGTATTCTGCAGGTAAACCATTGAGAGCCAAGATGATAATGTCTTCATCAGCAAAGTGCACGCCAACACAGGATAGCTGATCTCTTGAATCCTTAATACGATTAAGATATTGAGCTATAGAATCTGAACCCTTCTTCATATTGTAGAGACAAGTCTTCAGAAGAAAAATACTAGTCTTGGTAATAATGGCAAACCTTTCTTTCAAAGTTAACCACATCTCTCTAGCATTGGTACTACCAATTACACAAGAAATAGCAGAGGCAGACAAAGTAGTAGAGATTAATAGCATCAATGCTTTGTCATGTAACTGCCAGACCTTATATGCTTCAGTTTCCTCAGAATTAGAACCAACAACAAACTGAGGTGGACATGGATGGGAACCAGTCACAAAACCAAGTATGCCATGACATTCCAGCATTAAGTTCATTTGGAAGTGCCATTGCAAGTAATTAGTATCATCCAACTTGACATGGACTGTAGAAAGCATAGGAACCAGTGATGCAACAGAAGAGTGAGGAATCACTAACTGAGAGGCAGTCAACATATTTGGACCAAGAAAGGAATCTTTACTCACACCAACCAATAATTATTATAAAATTAAAAGTTTTTCAAAAATGTTTCCACTCAATAAACATTTACCCACCACACTAAAATTAATAAGATTATTTTGGTGAGTGTGTGGGGACTATCTAGATGTAAATGTTGGTGTTTTGATATAAAATGCAAAAGTTGATCAAATTATTCCTATCACTAATTATTTACCTACCACACTAAAATTAATTTTGATTTCTTTGGTGAGTGTGGTTGGCCTATTTAGTCACATTCATGATTATTCACTTAGTTGAAAAAATTATGATCACCACTTTGTATTATACAAATGCATGCTTTAACCCCACACCCTAGTG